GCACCTGGTAGGTCTCTTACAAATGTTAACTATCATCATCTTCATCAACACCTCCCGGGAACTGGAATATTCTGGCTGGTGACTGCAGTCTGTCTGTTGACCCTGATGGAAAGATTACTCTTTTCATTCCAGTTCATCCCTGGTAATGTTGAAATAATGATCAATCTCCACTATCCCTGGGGTACCATAGAATGTTAAGAGCTGGAAGGAGTTGTGGAGATGATCTCATCCGGTGCCTGCATTTACAGATGGAGAAATTGAGAACCCAAGAGGGTCACAAAGCAAACCCGTGGCAGGGCCAAGGCAAGGGCAAGGCTAAGGCACTGTGTCTGGCACATACTGCCACCCGCTAAGATGGGTTTTTACTGAGAAGGGCACCTAACCTCTTAAAGGCTACAGGAAATAATTCATTTGTCTCCCTAGTTGTGAGCATCATAGAGTATTATAAACGATTAACCAGAAAACAGATCATGTGACTTAATTCCACCTCTGCTAAAGGGCTTAAAATGCTTCAGTGAGTAGTCTGAGATTCATAAATACACAGTTCAACTCTTTCTCAAAGAATTATTAACCAGCTCCATCAAACCTTGAGCAATCAAGGAGAAAAAGAGCTGGCAAGAGAAATTTCTTGACCAAAATGTCACCAACAGCGCAGCTGACTTCTTGTCACCTTTCTTATTTTTCTCTAAGAGTTAGAGGAAGAAGGAAAGAAGTTATCATTATGCAAGATGGGAATTAAGAAAACAAACTGTGGAAAATTACAAATTCCGCCTCAAAAGGTAGGTTTCAAAGGAACACAACGGCACAACAGGGTGTTTATAGAACTGAAAGACAGAAAGTATTGACAAGGCGTAGAAAGCAGAAACACAACCCTCACTAAGGACTTTCAGAGGGTGGAGATGGGCTGGAGAGGCCTGGCAGTGCGTGGCTGTGATAACCTCTGGGCGTTCGGTCCAACTAATGATTTAGTGAACCTATAATTTACAGAGTCCCTAATGTCATACATTCACCTCACTTATCTTCCTAACCCACTGAGCATTAATTCTCCCAGGCATGGGACTGGCTTTTCATGCCACACGCAGGTCTTGATCAGCTTTAGCTTGAGGATTTGGGGGTGGGAGGGGATAAAGGAGAGAAAGCAGGTTAAGGTTTAAGTCTTCAAACCCAAGAAACAGGAACATAAATCCTTCTCTGTGCTGTTTCTCTGGGTTTCGTGCTTCTCAAGCAAGGCCACAACTCAGGCTCTGTGAACAAACTTTCGGCCCTGACAGCTTTCAAGGGTACTCCTCCTCCACAATGCCTTCTATCAAATCCAAATCATTTCCCACATTCCTTCCTTACACAGCCCCGGCCCACCAGTGACGCAGGACTCAGAGCAAATTCCACTCAGGAGATCCAGGAAGCTCTGGCCCGGCCCTCCCTTCTAGAAAAGAAAGTCCAAGTACAGAGGGATGCCACACCCAGGGGGGAGGTGAGAGAGGATGTGACAGCACCTCCAGGAATGCAGGGCCCCCGCAGGTGCGCTGACACCCACAAACTTCCTTTACAAAAGGGCCTGAGAAATCAGTACTGATAACAGGAATAAGGCTCAACCACCCAAGGATCAGTCACTCAGAGCTGGGCCCTGTTCCTGGGGCGTGGTGCTGCCAACAGGGGAGTGGGCAGGGAAAGCTGAGACTTGAGATCCCTAAAGGTTGTGACACGTCTTCTAGTCCAGCAATGATCAGAGTGTGGTCCAGGGACCTCTGGGAATCCCTGAGACCTTTTTCGGGGTATAGCAGGGTCAAAATACTTTCCAAAATACCAAGATGTCATTTGTTCTTTTCATCCTCATTGTTGAGTGAGGTGTTCTATGATGAAGGGTTCCAGAAAGGGCATGTGATGACATCATCGCTCTGATGACTACCTGAATGTGTGCTTGTGCATTCTTGTATTTTAATTCTCAGCCTTTTTTTTTGAGACAGAGTCTCCCTTTATCACACTCAGTAGAGTACTGTGACGTCATAGCTCACAGCAACCTCAAACTCTTGGGCTCAAGAGATTCTTTTGCCTCAGCCTCCCAAGTAGCTGGGACTATGGGTGCCTGCCACAACACCTGGCTATTTTTAGACATGAGGTCTGGCTCTGGCTTAGGCTGATCTCTAACACATGAGTTCAAGCAATCCACCCACCTCAGCCTCCTACAGTGCTAGGATTACAGGTGTGAGCCACTGTGCCCGGTCTCATTAATTCTCAGCTTTAATTCTTTTTTTTTTTTTTTTT